ATTATTATTATTATAACAAGCTCTCTCGCGCCCCAGAACCATCCACAGAAATGCCGTGATTGATTGATTTGATTTCAGCAAACACTAATTAAATGTTGCAGAGAGTCAAAATATTTGTGAGGTCTCACAGATCATGTCCATACAGATGCCGTCTGTAAAGCAGAAACCATTTTTAGCTCTCAAATCAATTTGTGTTAAGAAACGTTTCATTTAACATCTTTGGAGTGAATTCCACCCCTAAATGCTTTTAAGGAGCAATCAATGGCAATTAGTAATCAGACAGCACAGAAATTCCATTGAGGTCCAGGAATTGGGAATCGGAGACATCAGGAGGGGTACAGCAAAGTAGCTGAGAGTGGAGGAGTAGTAAGGGTTGTGGGTTCGAATCTCATGTGTCTGTCGACGTCAAAGAGCTGTTAACCCCTGGAGAGGAAAACAGAGCAGAAGAAGCAGTGAAGCCGACACAGTCCCCCGGACAGCAGAGCTGACAGGAAATGAAAAATGGCAGAATTCACTTTCAAGTGTGGAGACTCTGCCTCTCATGCTGTACACTGAATCTCCAATACCGAGAACTCCGCAGTACCCCCAGCTTATCATTCTGTTTCTGCTGTTTATGGCAACGTGCACCTTGGACTGTGAAGAGAGCTAATCACGTGCTAAACATGTGATACGAGAAAAAAAAAAGAGTGAAGGAATAGCTGGTGGTCCTGTCTGTCATCCGATTTTGGATGGAAAAACAAATGGGAGAGTCCAGACTGAACTGCGCAGCTGGAGAAGACATGTGGGGGTGCAGCACCTCTGCTTCCGGCCCGACTGCGCTCTGAAGCATGCTGCCAGGGGTGCAAAGAGCTGTTTCCGTGACACAGGGAGAAATGCAGATTTGAGATTAATGCTCTGGCCTCAATCCCATCAAAGCAATCTAGGAATACAGAAGGACGAGCATAGGGAGGGGGTTCAGAAACGGGGATGAGCTGTTTAGGTACCTTGTCCTATAATCATCAGCATTTTCTTCACCCACTTTATATCCAATTCAGGTCGCAATCCGGAGCCTATCCCGGCAGGCAGGTGGCGAAGGCAGGATACACCCTGGATGGGAAGCCAGTTAATTGCTGGGCACACACAGGCACAGACACTCACACCAGGACCAGTTTTCCCAGAAGCCAATTAACCCACCAGCATGTCCCTGGGCTGTGGGAGGACACCAGAGCGCCCGGGGGAAATCCACGCTAACACAGGGAGAACATGCAAACTCCACGCAGACAGCAACCCAAAAATTGAACCCGGAGCCCCAGAGCCGTAGGCAGTAATAACTGCTGTGCCACCATGCCAGCCTCCATGATCACCCATCAATAAAATAATAGACAGGCAGGCTGTCAAAAAAATCCAGGAGCACACGTGCAAAATATGAACCCAACTTCCTATTACATTTAGTCAACACTTTTTGGCGAAACGCGCTTTGCCTTTTCATGATCTCTCTCGCTGTACTGCACTCCAGACCTTTTACCGGCGGGATCCATATATTTTTCATTTATTGATGTACAATGATGCTAAATTAATACAGAGCTAGAAACAACCCAGGATGCAAACCGCATGCTGAAACGGGGTGAGCTCACTGCCAGCCGTGAAGACAGGCAGGGCACAGCACAGAGGGCAGATCGTTACTGCTGTTGCTATTATTACAGCCACGCAGTGTAAAGGCTCATAAGAGAGCATGCTCTTCTGAGAGCGCGAGAGGAACCGCGCAGGGCCTCTGTGCAGCAGAGCTTTCTAAGAAACGGGGATGTAAACTGTCATCCGAGCCGTGTGGGCCGCCTGGAAGCGACCTGAATAGCGGCGCGCTGACAGAGGGGGAGACCGAGCCCCCCCTCTCCCCCGCCTCTCTCTCTCCCACCCACTTGAATGGTGTGCTTGTTCTTGCTGCAGCAGCGGCAGCAGTTGAGTCATGCTGAGTGCATCCCGCGCGAGCTGCCAAACGAGCTCGGCGACCCCCCCCGCGCTCTTCGTCACAGGCGCGCTCCGCGGTCTGCAGCAGGAGGGAGGTGGTGGCGTCGTGTGTCGTCCTGACGGTCCTAGGATGTGTCTGTGTGTCAGTGTTGTGAATGTCCGCAGATGTTGCACTGACTCTATCGGCTCCGGCATTTTCTGTCATGGACCGGTCGTGCCAATAAAGCTGTTGCGATTTGAATTTTGCTGCCAGAGGGGCGTGGCGCTGTTTGCGTGCTCTGCCTCGCCCTGTCGAGCAGAAGGGCTGGAGAACGAACCTGAGAACAGGGGTTCGACCCGACTGGCTCACTTGCGGGCCAGCAGTTCATCAATCCGACTCCCCAAAGCAACCAGAAAACTGAAACTGACCCCAGGCTCCTCCCCGCCACCCTGTATTGGATAAGGAGGTCAGAAAATGGAAGGATGGATCTGTAACCTGGTGAAAAATTCCACACAGTGTTCTCAAAGCAGTCTCACTAGTGCCTTGCAAAGGTTTAACGTGACACCTCTCGAGCGTCCCCACATTGCCTAGGAGAAATAAATGATAAGTCAACGTAAATACCCAAGTCTTTCTCATCAGCTTTTGACACGGTTGACCGTGACATCTTACTTCCTCGTCTTGAGACTGTGCTGGGAGTTTCTGACGCTGCTCTCAAAAGGTTCAGGTCTTACCTCACTGATCGCTGTCCCTTTGTCTCTCTTAATGGGCGTAGGTCTGAAATTGGTCTTGTCAAGTCTGGTGTTCCTCAGGGCTCAATACTGGGCCCCTTGCTCTTCAGCATTTACATGTTTCCACTTAGTCAGCTTCTAAGATCACATGGCCTCAGCTTTCATTTCTATGCTGATGATACTCAAATATACATCCATACCACACCTGACACTGATGTGGCTGTCTCTATTCTATCTAATTGCATCTCTGGCATAACAACTTGGATGACTCAAAATTTCCTTCATCTTAACTGTGACAAAACAGAAGTCATGCTTATTGGTACCCCCCATCGACTTCGTAAAGCCAGTCCTGTAACCCTGTCTGTAGATGGCTCTGTACTTGAGCTTCAGTCTAAACTGAAAAACCTTGGGGTGATATTTGATTGTGGCTTAAGATTTGACCCACATGTGCAGCATATTGTCAAAACATATTTTTTCACCTCAGAAATATCACTAGACTACGCCCTATGTTATCACTAACTGTGGCTGAAAAGCTGATGCTCTACTCGCAGGGGTATCAAAATCTACTCTGAGCAAATTTGGCAGCCTGAATCCTGAAAAGGTCTAGTGCAAGCGATCACATTACTCCTGTCCTGGAGTCCTTGCACTGGTTTCCCGTCAAAGTCTGTGGAGCCTTCTTCTGGCTCAGCGAGTCCTGTTTCGTGTGTAGAGTTTTTTTTTATGCCCTCATGCAGACTTTGCACTTGTCCGCAATAAAAGACTAAGCAATAAATAATACAAGTGTAAGCAATTAATTAATTAAGTTACAGCACCGACAACGACCACTCGGCAGGTCCGCTTCCACACGGCAGCCGTCCACCCACCCACAGGCCGGGGACAGCACGGGCTCTGAGGGCTGAGTCCGCCCGCTTTGCCTGCAGAGCTAGAGGAGAGGTCGCGAAAGACCCGTGTTTTCATGTCCCTTCGCACAGCGGTGAAGTCAGTGGCGAGCCGGCCGAGCCTGAGGGTGACTCCATGCCGGAGTCGAGGG